GGAGGTCTATGTATTCCACTTAGTGCAGGCAGACGTTCGTTTTTTGACAGCTTTATTAGAAAACTCAATAAACTTTAGGCAATATTAAACAAATGCTTTTATTGACTCATTCTACAGTCAAAGAAATCTGACTTTTGCTCGTTGCGTTTGAGTGACCTGAGCTGTAATTAAAGTCAATGCTGCCTGACAAACTCTTGCTGTCGCAGCCAGTCTGTGCCTGTGTTGGGCCCAATGCTCCAAGCRCCCGAATGGCAGCAACGTTGGCAGCACCGAGCAGGGGGAACAAATTCCCACATTGCTCCTGCTCAAGGCTTCGGGAGCACCGAGAAATCACGTAGCCTTTAAAAGTCCTTCCCTAGTGCGATGGTTTAATAATAGAGATGAGCAAACCTCAGGGCTGACATCTCCACGGGGTTAAGATGTGAACCAGGACAAGACCCTTTAAGCTTGCAATGCCCAATGTAACGTTGAAACACAGCCCCTTGATCTGCGGATTATGAAAGGCAGCAGATCAAGCCAAACTCTGCTTTGTAAACTGGCACTGTTTGATATCTTTTCAAAAAGCCATCTGCAAATACTATAATTAGAATATATACTTTTTTTTTATACTTTTCTTTTTTTCCTAACTTGGTTAATGGCAAGAAAAAGATCAAAAAACTTTCAGGCGTAATTTTCAGGAGATATGCAGCAATAAATGCTCAAATATGCACTGAGTCAAGATAAGAATTTGCCTGTAGACACATTGTTAACACAGACATCAAATTAGCTTGACATTGGCTCAGTAATGAATATTTAGGGCAAAACACTGAAAAATAAATGTAACTGGAGTCAGTCAGTATTGGGATATCTATAAATACACACACAGAAGTCTAATGAAGAAACAAGCAACTTCTACTCATGTTTAAAAGTGATATCCTGTAAAGAAGCTTCTATCTAAATTTTTAAGGGAAACTAACTTTTGGGTTTAAAGTGAAGCTTAGCTTTKGCTCTTTTTGAAGCACTATAGCAGAAAATAATTTATTTAAATATGCTGTAATAGGAAGCAGCATACATAGGTGTATTGCAGCCTCAGCATTGACAGTAAGTCCAAACTTTTCCTGGATAACATTACCAGCAACAAGGTCTAGATCCCTTCAGAATGTCCTAAAAAATTTCAGACACTAACTTTGAACCCAAAACTCTAGAGTTTAGCTGGGGCAGCCCCAATGATAACCATGTGACTAGTGCAGTTAGAACCACCTGCATAAGTAATGCAGTTAAACACACATCGCTATTTCCCATGTGCATGATATAATCTGGATTCGGCTGCTGCTGAAGTCTCATGGATGGATGGATGGAGAATGGATGGATGGATGAGGACCTTGTGTCCTTCATGCAGCCCTGCTTAATCCTTTTACCTATGTTCTGTAGGTGGAGAAAGGTCCCTTGATGTATGGATGTCTTTGGGATAGGGAGGGGTGGGGAAGCTGCMTGGATGCTGTAGGTGTCCCAGAAACACAGAGTGAGCAAAATTAAGTGCATATTTATTGCTCTCTTRACATTCACTGTGTTGACAGTAATTTCGTTACGGACAAAATATTACAATCAGAACCAGAGTTTCCAGTAAAAAGATGCATTTGATTTGGTTTCCTTCTTGCTGTCTTTGCTTCTCACCACCTTGGCCTAAATAAAGAAAAATTATTGGAGTGAATCATGCAGAGGTAAGGTMATTTCAGTGCCTGATTCTGCAATACTACTGTACAGAATGGCATGTTAGCCTGGATAATGGTTTATTTATTTTCATTAAATATTGATTATCAGCTGTTTATRCTGGGAGGTACTTTCCTATTTACTGTGGGAGTAGTTATATACCTATATTCTTTTTATGACTTTTTTTTTTCCAAGTTAACTGTTTAGTCTCACAAATTTGCATGTTTTAGCCCTAACTGATATCTGCCAGTAACTTGTGTGTGCCGTTCACTATTATAACTTTATACCTAATGTCTTCAAAATCTCTTAGAATTTCTAAGCTAGTCTGAAAAATCAAAACAATAGTGGAAAGAAAAATGATGGCATTTTCACTTTATTGAAGCAAAACATTATGGGAGCTTTTCACACACACACACACAAAAAAATCTACTGGCACATCTTACACATTTGCACAAAATCATTTCAGGGTGATCAAATCAGAAATTTTTCGTCAGGCAATGTTTAATCAGGATGAGCTCCATCTGTTCAAGGAAATATCTTCCACAGAAAATGCTGCTTCCTTAAGATGGCTCTGCTGTTTCCATCGTCTTTAGCTTGATAAGTCCCGAAAATGCTTGTCAAGGATGGCCCTTAGACAGAGAGGAAATAACATCGTGGGGACTGGAGGTGATGTGCTGCAAATATGATATGGTGAACACAACTTTTTTTTTTTATATGCCACAGTGGCCTTTTGAAAAACTAACCTATACCATCATTTTAAATTAAAAATGTGTAACAGCGATTTCTGTTCCTGGGGCCCGAAAAGCAAACAAGCTCATGGTAGAGTAATATAATAGTATGTTATTATGAGATTAGAATGTTACAGTAATCCTCTCAAATCATTAGCAACAGACTAGTACTTCAGCATGACCCTTGACTTGATCTTCCTTGGAAAAAACAGCAATAACATTGCCATTAAAACAAGAGGAATTTGCATTTCAATGAAAACCTTATTAAAAAGTTTTTCTTTTTTTTTTTTTAATATAAACATGTGCAGTATTTGCTTATAGGGAGTACAGATGGTCAGTAGACCCTTACAGAAGTGAGAGAGGGACTCCTGTCAAAATGGTGAACACSTATTTGCATCAGTATTGAAAAGCCAGTAAGCAGGGCTTTTTTTGCAGTGAAGTACTGGGCTGCAATTCTGAACGAAGAGATTTCCTGGAACGCTTTTGAAACATATCACACATGGGGGAATTCAAATCAATTTTTCCTTTAAACTTTAGCACGTGCAAAGGATTTACGCTGTTCAAAGTAAAAACATTAAATGGACACCAGCTTCCCAATTCATCAAAGGAAAAGCATGTGCTTAATTCCACCTTTCCTTAGCAAAGCTCTTGGGAATGTGTTTGTAAGAGTATGCTGGTGCCTAATGAAACCAGCAGCGTGTGCTCCCAGGTACTGCAGGGGATTAGAGGAAAGGTCTTGATCTGTTGAAAAGGCAACTACTCGGCTCTGTAGTTTGTTCCCTGCTACAAATATTAATGAAACCAAATAAATGCTCATGTTATTTTTCTTTCCTGCATTTTGGATATATTTGACTCCTCTAGCATTAGTGTTTTCTGGTGCTAGAGACTGTGAACGATGGTTGCACACACGTATGCAAGAGGAAGCTGGCTGGGTGCTGTAACCCTTCTCAGTGCTCAACTAGCAATGAAGTCTCTTGAACAGTATTATGGAGTTGGTATTAGCAGCGTTCTTGGTTCTGCACATCGTATTCAGCAAAAAAAGATGATACTTGGCAGAATATGCAGTTAGCCATCGACCCTTTGTAATGTGACCTCTGTGCTCTTTTGGGGGCTCTCTTTGGTTTTTCTAGTGGGAGGACTTCTGCATCTCAGGATTATCTTCTCATTTCTGGGGTATTCTGGTGCTGTGGTATGGACATTTTCGTGGTTTCTAGCTGCAGCTGCTCTATTTTATGCATTGGATAAATAACACAGTGCAAAGGAGAGGGAAGTGTAAAATAATAAAGTCTGCTGTGAGGCAAGGACTGTAACCTTCCCTCTTTCATCTTAAGTGAAATATCTCTTCTCCCAGAGAGTCCGACACTGTCTGTAATCCACTCCATCAATTAATACTTAGCGAAGTCCTGCAAAGCGTCACCTCTTGCAATAAGAACCGAAAGYGTCTCACCTCATCTTCCACAGCACAATAATCAGGATCAGCTGAGGGAGCTACTTGTAAACCAGAGAGAGGTCGGTTTTATCACAGGTGCGTTTTGTAGCCATTGAACAACTAAATGTGCCTGGACGTGACTTGCCCCTTGCCCTGTGTGGCTGTGAGGTGTTCACTGTCCTGAGCTGCCTGGGGGCTGCGGAGGCTCTGCGGGATGGGTGACCTCAAGGCTTAGAAATTTCAGGACCTTCACACAAATGGATCTTGAAACACAGAGGGAATTTTAATAGAGAAAGTCCAGGTGCTGATAAGACTTAAGGTCCTTCAGGCAGAGGCTTTAGTGTTCAATATTGAAACCCAAGGGCACTTTTATGTTGTTTGGAGATTCCCTGGGAGTTCCTGCTTGTCCTGCCACCTTGCTGCCCTGCTTGCCTTCCCAGGGCATGATAACCCTCCAAGTCATCCGGCTGCCCTCCTCCTCACAATGTCTATATTGGGCATGCTATTAAAAGATGCTATGAAATGATGAACAGCKTGTTTCTCCAGGACGCAGTATTTATAGCGTGTCCCTGACAGGCAACCCCTGTGGGGCTGGCCCCTGGTGTTCCCTCTTGCACGGACTCCTTGGCACACTCAGCAGCCTYTGCACCTTCTTGGAGGACTCAGTGGGTGCAGCAGCACTCTGGGGACAGGYTCTGGTATTGACACAACCTCATGCTGCCCAGAAACGGCCGCAGATGCTTGCGTGGCATTTCCACGTCATGAAGGGCACCCTGGACAGCAGCTCACGTTAYGGGTCTCCAGCCGGAGACCCTGGCGCTGGGCCACTTGGCCGTCTTGGAGGCATCTGCGGGACTTTCTGGGAAAGCAGGAGGCCCTGGATGCTGTGGCTCGAGGGGGAGCCCTGCTTCCTGCCACCTGCAGCTCCTKCACGGGGGCTTCGCAGGTTGAGCAGCCGCCCGCGCACCGGGGGTTGCAGGACCCTCTGCCCCTGGAAAACACTTTTTTGTTTGGAGCGGGGAACCACAAGCATTCAAGGGAGGGGAGCGCGGGCACCGGAGCCGGGCGGGGGCCGGGGGGGCGGCGCAGCGCGGGGGCGGCGCCGCCGGCAGCTCCTTCCCGGCGCGGAGCAGCGCGGGGCGGCCGCGCACCATGCGCGATCCCTGAGCGGTGCCCCGGACCCTGCGCGCAGGGATGGCCTCCAATTTCAACGACATCGTCAAGCAGGGCTACGTGCGCATCCGCAGCAGGCGCCTGGGGGTGAGCGCTGGCCCCGCTCGCCCGGCGCCGGGCACCGCGGGGGCACCCGCCTCGGGCCGGGCGAGATTGCCTAATTTTTCTTTGTCTTCTGCAAGCTGCGCCCTGCGGCTCCTCCGGAGGGGAGATGCGCCGGGAAACCTGGGGCGGGGGAGAGGAATGGAGCGAAATAAGGCACCTAATTGCGTGTCTGTGTGTATGCGCTGTGCACATTCATGTATGTAGGCGCTCGTGTGTTTTGGGAGACGCGGGTCCCTCCCGCGGGGCCGGCTGCGCTGCCCCCCGGCCGGCTCTGGAGCGGGGCAGCCCTGCGGCCGGCAGCGCTGGGATGGGGCTGCTGGGGACGGCTGCGAGGAGGAGGAGGAGGAGGAGGAGGAGGAGGTGGTCGGGAGGAAGGCGGCGGCGTGCGGGGCTCAGCTCCCCGGGCTGGGCAGCGAGGGGGCCGCGAGCCCGGCGGAGAAAGTGCCTTGTGGGAGAAGCTGCTTCGATCTCGGGTTTATAGTATTTTTACACAGGCTGGGTGAGGACTCTGTAGTATCTTTATGGCTTTATGTTAGTTGTCTTTAAGTTACTGCAATGAGAATCTCCCCAAATCCTCCTTCCCTGCTTCCTTTAGCTTGCTATTTTATCTTAAACTTCTCTATTTTTGTTTTATTTATTTTTTATTAAACTCTCATATGTCCTTCGTTCTAGTTGTAGGTTCTGGACCTACAATAGTGGCAGGCTGGTTCTTCTTTCTCTTTCAAGGTGCGGTGTGTGCCTGCCCTTCCTGGGATGCTGCTGCTCGGTCCCTTCTGAGCCCCACGTGTGGCTGGGGATGAGCCCTGTGTGCTCCGTGTCTCCGTGGACTGAGGAAGGCTTTGTGCGCGGGAAATGTTCTAGCTGGTGTATTTGCCCCAGGACGGGAGAGTAACTCATTTCTAGTGGTTATCGGGAACTGATCCATTACTAAATTGGCAGTTTTGAATTATTATTTAGGGCATGAATTTTACATTGAGATTTGTTATGAGGGGAGGTTGGTGGGATTACCTGGAAGGTGTGTTTTTTTTTTTTTTTTTTTTTTTTTTTTTTTTTTTTTTTTNGTTTTGTTTTCTGAGTTGCTGCTTCTCAGTAAAACTACAGCCCTTCCCTTGGGCCTTTCCCGGCTGGATGTAAGAACCAGAGGAAAAAGCTGGATGTTGAGTGATAGGACACAGCTATACCCTTAATGAGGTTAAGTTATAGAGGCACAAGAGTCCTTTTAGGAAAACAGCACTTTTACAAAATAGCACATAACTGGAAGGTGTTTTTTTTTTTTTTTTTTTTTTTTTTTTTTTTTTTTATGATTAATGTTGCATCCTTGTGCTAGATGATTCAGTGGTTTCTGTACAATTTTAGTAACATCTTGCTTGGAAACTAGAAAGCATTTAATAGTATTCCAGCAGGCATCTTCATAAGTGGAAGATGATATATGTGGATTTGCTGGGTGTAATTCATTCTTTATGAGCTGTGTGATTCAGTGATAGATGGAGATAACTTTATTATGAGAGAAGTTGCAGTAAATCTGGCAGGATTAGCATATTCTAACTGTCCTCTTCCATCTGAAGCATTCAGATTGTTCCATCATAAATGACAGGTGAGATTAAACTGTGACACATCCTTCCATAGGGTAAAAGTGAAACCTCATGGGTCTGTGAACAGGGCACATCTGCATAAGCTTAAATGCTGCTAAAGCTTCTAACCTTCATTGGTTCCTGCTTTCTAATACCCTTCTCCTGTGGGAGGGTGAGGAATAGTGTGCCTTGTCCTCTTCTTATGTGCACTTTGGCTGCCAAAYAACAAACACGGAGAAATGGAGACCCACACTGAGCTCATGGAAATGGAACGAATGTTAAATGTTCTTTTGGAAGAGGAAGTTTAAATTCAAGACTAGCTTAGATTTCTGCAGAACTGTAGCTGTCAGTTCTCGCTTCCCAGGACACAGCTGAGATGTCTCCTTGTTGCTCTGGGAATTGCCTTCCCTCCTTGATGCAGGTGTGTGTGTCCTGGGCTGATCCTGACCACCTGGAGCTGCCATGAGGCTTTAGGAAGAGCTTTAATTCCTACATTTAATGGGTGGCAAATGAAAACTTGGCTCTTCGGAGGAGATGGAGCTGTGCAAAGTTTGTTTTCTAGTAGCACGCATTACACCCCTGCGAGTTTGAGGTGGCATGAGAAGGGAAAATATTTGTACAGACTTTAACATGTTCAACAGGAAACTTTCAAAGAAGAATGTTATCCCCATACCATGAAAATTATAGGAAGGAGAACCTGGCTTCARCCTTATGCAGGAACTCCCGTTTAATTGAGAAGGATTTCAGTACTATGTGCGTGGTGAGGTGTWAGTGGGAGTTATTAAAATACCTTCCAATATTATGGTGGCACAGCTATAATCAGTGAATTGTCTTTGCAGACAGAATTCAGCTCCTGGGTTTTCCTCTATAATGTTATGGTAATTCCATCACCAAGGGAACTAGGAGCAGAGCTTGCCTCCACAAATTATCTCAAGAAGTGACTTTTCAGAATAGCTGGGGTGCRGGTGCTTGGTTTGGAAAGAAAGAGATGCAGAAAAGCACCTCGCTCAAAAACCAARCTGCACTTCTGTTAAAGAAAAATGGCAATTCTGATAGGCTCTACTTAATTTCAAAATGTAATTTGGGCCAGTTATAGTTTTGTACTTGGTCTATTTATGTAGATTTTAAATATTAACTTTGCATATTTAATAGAATAGTTTCCATAGCAACATTGGGAGCACATGTCTTCTGTAGAGCCAATATATTTCTCCCTAATACATTTGGAAGAAAGGATGCTCTTCTTAAACTGTGGTGCTCCTACCCAAGTGCTGGATTAGCACTCTGACATCACCTAAAATCCACTGCTTTTATGAACAGGAGGATGTGACGATGTAAGATCAACTTGGAGCATTTTTCAGGTTAAGAACTTGCCAAAAGAGTCTTAAAAGGAAAGGGCTCCTTGTACTCCCATCTCCTTTCCTCCYGGGCTAAGCTGTTGCAAGCTCACGGCCCCGTCGAGCTGCCAATGATTCAAGGCTCAGTTTGCTGTTCTTGCAGCCACCCCTAAGCTCTGCTCTGCTGGAAGGTATGTTTCAGTTTAAGGACTATAGGGCACAGGATCTGCTCTAAGACTGTCCTCTCCTGCCGTGGTTACAACTGTATTAGAAGCAGGAGCTACAGACCCAGGACAGGAGGGACAGCGAGTGATCTCTGCAGCCTTTACCTGGGCAAAGCCTGGGTGCAGTGTTGAGTTGCCATCAGTCCCCATGCAGAGCCTCAGAGATGGTGCTGTTCCCCTCAGAAGACCCTRTGGAGCCCATAGGCATCTGGGCTGTCCCTGCCTCTCGATATATAGGACATGGATGCTGTGGGGTTAGCTATCAGTCCCTGCCTCTTGGTGTACTAGTAACACACTTGGAGTGTCTTATTGCATTAAGTGACACGGTGCTATTAGTGTCAGAGGGAAACCTCTTCGATGACCTGCAGCTGCCTAAAGCAGTACCCAGCTGAAGGCAAGAGAGTGCAGGTCAAACCGAAGTGCCTCGGAGAAGCTGCTGAGATGTGTTGGTGTGGAGCAGGGAGCGCTCGGGTCAAGACGTGTATATATCGAAAGCTGGTTTGCAGTCTTTCAGAAGTTTCCATAATTTCAGAATATTTAAGGTTGGAAGGGACCTCTAGAGTCTTGTTCGTCTCTGCACAGTATTTTAATAGAAGCATTGGACTAGACTAGGAGCACTGGCATCCAAAGAGATTTTCTCGTCTTCAGTGTTTTCCAGGAGATATGAAATACCTTAAGATAACACAGACTTGACTGCACCCTTTCTTCCAAGCTATGTCTATTATGAACGCATCTGGTTTGTGTGCCAGTATATCCACTGCATCCCCATTTCTCTTTCCAAAAGCACTGATATATTTTTTTTTTAAAGGTACATCAGGGTTGAACTGCATTCTGCATATGGTGATGTTCTATCTCTTGTGGTGCAAGGTGGATCAAAGCTCTGGATAGGCAATATGAGGAGACTGAGTTACTRGACAATCTTCCAAGAAAAATTCAAAGGCAGGGATAGACTATGTCCCTTACATTTTTAAGGCTTAAAATAGAGGTGACACCATCTACAGTAGTGTTTGCTCTCATGTGCTCCTCCTGCTATCCTCAAACTTCCCTGTGTTGAAGCAGTCCTATCTGCCTTACTAGTGAAGCTCTTAGTTTTCCAAAGTAAAGATGCTTTATGTGAAAGATCCAACTCCTAACCCAGTCTAGGGTAAAAAAAGGAGTGAATTGTGGCTAGGAACTTACTGAATGTGAAGTTGTTTGCACGGTGTGTTTGTTTCACTTATCCTAAAGCAAAGGACATATAGTGGGTGTGATGCTTTCTGCTTCAGCAAGCATCTCTTTAACATGGAAACTACTTATGTTAGCTGGGTGATATGTCAAAATGATATTTTAGCTTGTCTGTCTTTTCCATTGTGAAGATGTAATAACTATAGTTTTACAATTTTAATTCATACAGTCACCAGAAGTATCCTATCTGAGCTTATATGCACACATTTAAAAAGGATTTAAGAAAACCCTAAAGTTCATGTACATTTTAAAGCAAAACAGGAAATGCTAAAGTAATTTGCATATGAGAATTAAGTTCTGTATCTTAGAAGATGAACTTTTTTTTTTTTCCTTTTGAAAAAGAATGATTCCTAGAAGTGGAACCCTTTAAGATAACACATGCAGTTGAATTAATATACATAGATTACTGCCTCAGCATGGTAGAAGTATTTAATACAAATAATCCTGGCAATTTGATGGATGTTAGAAAAGCCTCACAAAGCATTTGTCTTGCTGGAAAATGTGTTACCTGTTACAGGGCCTGTTTACAACCCAGAAAACAATCTTAAACTAAAAATAACATGTAGAACTTTCAAAATTGGGCCCTGCTATCAGGGAGCCTGGTTTATTTTACGATCTCTATGGTTTTA